TGGATGAGATCAGAAATTTTTTGATCGATGATCCCATACAAGTTTAGCATCATTCGATGCAGAATTTCATTCTGAATTCAACACAACCATTTCCAGAACCAACACAGCTAAAGCAGTGAACCCGGGCTGAAATTACTTCTACAAGATTTTCAGAAAAGGCAGTATTTTCAGGTAAAGTGCCAGATTTTGATCGGCAACCCCCTTTAAAAATGACACCATTCGATTCAGCACAAAATTCTGCATCCAACACAACGAAAATGAAATCCAACACAACCATATAGGCGAATCCGGGCTGGAAAAGCTCGAATCTCGTGCTAACTTCCCTAACGTTTCTATTCTGAAATGATTCTCATACAGATTCTGTGAATAATTCAAGAAAAAATTCACCTCTACTATTGAAAATGAAAGTAGTTTTCCCGATTCATTTCCACACGACTAAAGCAAATCTCACAATAGAAAGGGTGCTGAGGTACTGGGGGTTCCAAACCTGCACTTTCCCCCCTTGAATAAAATTCTGTATCGAATGGTATATAAAGAATGTTCCTTTTTGCTGAAAAAGTACCGACTCAAAATTCAACCACAGTACCTAAAAGATGCTCACATGAGCAAGGTCACAGCTGACCTTATGCACAATGGATCAAGCCGAAACTTGTAGAAATGATATAGAACAACGCGCTCTGCAGTTTGGGAAACTTTCAGACTAAACCGATGTCTTTTTCGAATTGGGCCGAAATGACCCCAAAACGTCCCTCGTCCTTAATTTATGCTTTTTCGTATTTTATTAAAAGAAATAAATACTTATTTTCTTCTGTTATAGTCATTATCTGTTATGTTTTTTTCCCATAAATATAATAGCGCGTTTAGTTATCTCAGAATGAGTAGAACCAAATTCATAACACGTGTATGTTGAGAGCATAGGACTTTGTTTCAATATCATTTTATTTTATTTCATATTAATTAGTTTGATGTGATAGCTAACTCAGCACATGTTATTTCAATGATAAATTCTATTTAAAATCATTAAGCATTGCCGATGCATGACAAGTAATATTCAAGTAATTACAAAGAAAACAGGAACGAACTATTAGATATGCTCATTTGCTCAAATAGAAAAAAAAGAAGGAAAACTTTGATAAAAATGAAAAACAACATATTAATTGTGAATGCATTTCATAGAAAAACAGCATCAAACGGATACCTCTTTCCTTCTTCTACTAATATCTACTTGAGAAATATTTGTCTTTTTAACTCAAAAGGAAGGCATACACAACAAAGCTTGATCATTTTTATCGAAAAAAACCCATAAGCAAGTAGACATTGTTCTTTTCTATTCAAAGAGAAAATCAAAATATTGAAAGTAGTGATAAAATAATCTCTCATAGTAAAAATAGATCTTAATTAAGTAGAAGAATTAATATTTAAAAAAAACAAAGAATTGAACTTTTCCTTATTTATTTTTATAACAAAAAAAAGCACAATTGTTTCTATCAAATATTGTATTATCATAATTATAAACGTTCGATAAACTTGTGTTTAATACATAATAAAAATAGTTTTAAGTTAAATACGTTGATAGAACAAATAGATATAGAATTTACCATCGTAGAAAAGTTCTGATTAACGTGAGAGAGAGAGAGAGGGAGGGAGAGAGGGAGGGAGAGAGGGAGGGAGAGAATACTTCTGTTCTAAAACACATCATAATATAAAATATGAAACAAGCCAGATTAACAATTCTAAAAATAACCCTGCTCTTTCATTTTTATACGTCGCTCGTAAGAAGAACCTATCCGATAAAAACGAATCAAAATAATCGTTTGTAGACTTTTCTTCTTCGATACTCCGATAAAACTTAGAGTGCATTGTTCGCTTTTTTTCGTTGACCACTTTTATTTATTGAATATTAAATCAAACTTCGTAGGTAATGATTTTAATCGCAATATTGAGTAGACAATTAATTAAATGTTTCATGTAAAATCATTTATTTGTAGACAATGTTTTGTCGAACTTGAACGTTTTCTTTCAGACTCTTTTTTTTTGTAAATAAAAAAGCAGTTTTTATGTTTGAGTAAGTATCATTACTTCTCTAAACTGTCTAAAAGGAAATATTATTTTGGTGTCATTTTTATCAATTCAATCTTTTTTCTACGTGTTTATGAAGCTTAGAAGACTAAATTTTGCCTTTAGGTCTTTGCATAGCTAACCATTTACATTCAATTATGCAAGCGGAGTATTTTCGTGTTGTCTATCGTTAGGGAAAAAAGCTAAATATCTATATTTATTTTATTCATTTTTGTCTTCGACCGATCGCATGTTTTATAGTGAAAGATCAAACGAATTTTCTATTATAAAAAAAAGAAGAAGATGAATGTGTACCATTTTGCGTGCGTATCAGTTTCCATTGAAGATTTGTCTCGCTCTGTCTAACCCAGAGGAAAAAGTTCGCTACTCTGATATAGATGCAAACTTCAAATGCAAATAATGATTTACTCATATATGATAAGAATTTCTTGTTGAAGAAAGAAAACTTTTTGATTATGAATATATAACCACTAGTTCGTTGTTTTGTTTCATATATCCATAGCATGAATGCATTACGAATGAAATATTTAGCGCATATTCTACAGGGAATACATCTTTTCTTCTTCGTTTTGCTTTAGAAATGAATGAAGTTTACTAGTGCCTATCTTATTTTTTGTAAAAATAAAAGACGAGAGAATTGTCGTATAATTTATAATAACGTTGTTTTACATTCAAAACAATGATGAACGCACATGTTTATATCTGTAGCAGTGGGTATTGACGGGAAATCGACATATATTTATGCTTTTGTGACAAATTTTATTGTAAATAACAAAAAGAATTATGTTTTTGTTTCCGAAAATATAGAAATAATTATCTTTGTCGGTTCTATTTAGAGCGTATCGGGAAATCTTTTCTTTTTATATCCTATGAATAGTAAATAGCCGATAACGCATAGATTTTCTTTTGTAAACAGAAACAGACAGTCTAACCCAGAATGATGAGAGCAAATATAGAAAAAACTGTATATATTGAATTATTTTATGTATCACTAGGTACTTTTCGTTGCTAGATGAAACATTCTTTGGATCATATGTAAAATGGCAACACAACTATGTAGAACATTTATATACCGAAATTCTTCAATATTATCGTCATATTCAAATCATTCACATATAAGTGATGCTGAATGGATAACAAATAGTATATCATTAATAATATTTGTTCTTGCATTTATTGGAAATACAGCAGCACTCATTGTTATGTTTGGTTCGAGAGGTCCAATACGATTAACCAATAGCAGATATTTAGCTAATTTAGCATGTGCAGATTTATTACGAGCATGTTTTATGCCTTTTACTATAATAGCAAGAATGAAACGAAATTTTATGTTTGGGAAAATGATCTGTAAAATTTTACCCATTGTTCAAGGTAAAATTTGTTTGAGTTTATAACAATAATGATAAGTTACGATTAGCTCTTCTTTTTAATCTCAAAAGAATGAAACATTTTATGATTACTAAGAATACAAATAATAAGAAAAAAAATCCGTTTCTAGTTTTAGTTGATAGTTAGTATAGTAGAATTCAAAAACACATATTACAAATGCCAATCCAATTAACGATAATTTTTTTTTACAATTTATTGTATAATATTAAATTTTTTATATGTTAAAATTAAGACATTCATTTCAATACATCATATCTCGTATGTCATAATCGAATCTTGTATTGAAGGTTATGACTCGATATTAGATTTTTCTATAATAGGTATCGCAAGACAAATAATATTTTTTACAAGGTGAGAAAAAATACAGCGGCAAAAAAGTTCTTAATATTGAAAAAGGACTAACATTATATGTTACTGACTGAAACCAATCTAGTGGTAACATCTACTTATTTATAATTTCATTTTCATGTTATTTTACAATAATAACTATTATTTCCATAGCCGAAATGAGGATAATTTTGTTAATAAATAGCTGCCGATAAAAGTGCATCAGTGGTACATTTGTTTTTCAACATCGAAAAATAATAATTGCTTAGAAAAATTTTCTTGGTCTCTTACTTTTTCTTAGCTATTATTAAATAGCTTGAGAAATTTCATTGTGGATTTTGTTTTTGTTATCATGAAATAAGTGCAGGACACCATAGATTTAACAATACTCATTGATAAAATATCAATTGAGATTGAAGTAGATAGTTATTTATTGAAATGTTGTTGTACGAAACCTTGTCTAAATATAAGATAACAGCGAATATTACATGTGTTTTGATAAAGTTATAGATAGTTTTCCAAGAAAAACAATGATACCTAAGTGAAATGATATTCTACAGAGTAAAATAGAAACTCTTCTTAGATGTTTCATCTAATTTGAATACAAACTAATATCATATAGTGGAATATATTTGATTTATCTAAGAAGAAACAATCGAATAGTAAGAAGTTTAGCAATGGTTGCTAAAAAGAAAAAAGAAAATTAGATATATCATATTGATGAATCCTTAAAAAGGAATACTACTTTCTTTTTCAATTTACTTTTTGTCTTAGGTTTAAGTGTAGCTGTGGATGTTTTTACTCTTGTTTGCATAAGTATTGAACGTTACTTAGCCATATGTCGTCCATTACTTATATTAAAACTTCAATCTATTCGATTTTCTGATCTTCTCAATGCTTTTATCTTACTATTAATATGGTCATTAGGTTTTCTGATAGCATTACCAAATTTATATATGTATAATTTATGTTCTTTACCAAAACCAGGACGCTTTAAATGTGAAAAAACATCACCACAAGAATTCGATGAACAAATTTACATGATTGCCTTAGATGGTAAAACTTTCAAGAAAATAAATTCAAAGAAATAGATCAAATTAATAAATATTTGTTTTTAGTTTTTTATTTTGTGATACCAATGGTTGTCATGATTGCTCTTTATACGTTAATTATTCGGAAAATGTATAGAAATAGTACAGCAATACAAATGAGATCATTTAAAAGTAATTATTTTCTTCACTGAAATTTTAAATTTAGAAAAAGATCGATTTCTTCTTTATTTTAGATATTAATCCAAGTAAAATTCCATCGAATTCTTCATCTCCACAATTACTTTCATTTCGAAGACGTTCTCGAAATCGCTCAGAACATATGGATTTCATCGAAAATAATAGAAGAGATTCATCAATTTTAGAAAAATTTGTCCGACAATTATTATTTCGTAGTAGTCTTAGATCAAGATCAAATTTTACTGAAGAAGATCAAGTACAACATCCTACATTAGACATTTCACGCAGAAAGCAACAATTGAATGAAACGGATACCATATCTCAACGTGCATCTCAAGAAATTCATTATCAAAACGACAACATTATGAAAAATGCTTTTCAACGATTAAGTTTTAAAAAAACTAGCATTAGTTTACAACGCTATTCATCATCACATGGTATGCATCGTATGGATCGTAGTCGTCGTAAAGCGCTTCAACTTTTAATAGTATTAATAATGGAATTTTTTATTTGTTGGACACCCTTATTTATTTATCATACAATCGGTACATTCAATAAAAACTTTTATCGCTCAACACCCAATATTTATCTTGATTTAATACTTCTGTTTTCATTTGCATCTGCATCATGTAATCCATTAACTTATTATTTTATGTCTAAACGCTATCGATCAGCTTTATATGCTTATTTACGATGTTCTGATCTTAACCATAATCAACAAAGTTTTACTAATAAAAAACAACAATTACATTCTATGAAAAATGTTTTACATTCAAACCAAAAAGAAAATTCTCCTAATCTGAAACACAAAGGACAAGTAGATATTGACGTTTCTCCACATGATCGATTAAGATCTAAAGCATACTGATTCGTGTCAACATATATGTATCATCTCTTTTCTTCTAGTGTTGTTGTTGTTGTTGTTGTTGTTATTATTATATCATCATGTGTATATTCCATAAAGATTTTATTTGTTTCTGCTTCCATATATAGACATTTGAATATGTTTTTGTTTGTTAGTATACTCATTTATACTCGTTTCGTTGTTTTTTCTCTTTTCTTACTCTTGCAACCATTAAAATATGCCCATTCAAATTTAAAACAAATGAAAATCAACACTTTAGTTTTGATAGTAATGCTAATGATATTAAAGAAAAAGAACAGAACTTAATAATAAAATTGTATCATCATTATTTTTTTAAACACATAAACAGCAGCGAAATCATCAGTTTCCATCGATAGTATTAGATAATGCCTTAGAAAAAATGAGTAAAGTTTGAAATCCATTCGATTTAATAAAGTCTACTTTGGTTTTATCCTTTAGAAAATATTAGAGAAGAACAGAATAAAATATTATCCAGAAAAAAATAGTATGAAAGATTTAAATTCATAAGAATCCTGTTCTTTTCAATTGTCAACACACGATCGATGGCGAATACATGTACTGAATATTATAAATATGACTAACAAGTATTCTTATGTAAATAATCAAGTTATCTACAAGAAAGAAAAATTATTTCAAAATTTGAATTCATATTATCACCTTTAGAGTTCATTACTCATTCTTTTTCTTGTGTCATCTCTCTATCACTAAGATTCAATAATGTACTAGTCTTATATGTTTTATACTTGTTCAACTCATTGAAAAATATATTGTGTCTCCAGATTTATCTAGTAATTATTCATTTCCCTGTAAAAACTTGCTGTGAGTAAATTATAATACATATCTAATTCGTACACTAAATTTCTTCGAAACTATGTATATGTGTTGTTAGATAGTTTTTATTAAGTGCTCTTTTAGTAATCAATATATGTTTCTGTGATGACTGTCTTTTGCTAATTGGAAAATAGAATTTTAATTACGTTGATTTCAATAATTATAAGTTCAATTATGGTGAAGTTACCATTGTAAAAAATGAAAATGACTATTAGAATTATATTAAATGAATATACTGCATATAGATTCACAATAGGAATAAGTATTCGCTTATATTATGTAAAATTTTATCTAAATATTCTTTTTTTTTCATGTTTAATAATCGATGGAAAAAAAAACAATCAGCAGCAAACCAAAGCGAGTGACAAAGAAAAACATAAGAAATATTGTAATTTCTCCTCAAATGTTAGTACACTTATTTGTTAAACTTTTAGATTATTTGTACATGTATGATTGAAGCTTTTTTAAAAGATATTTTAAAATCTTGACAATGTAGCGAGCATTTTGTTTTCATTTTTGATTGAGATTCTATTGATGATGAAACAATCTTCTGATTTACTTTCATTCGATTGAAGTGCGTCTAGTTCTGTATCATGAAAAGAATGTATTTTTTTAAAGAGTTTGCATGTTTTACTCCACTTGAAAACATACCATAAAAAAGAGAATAGATGGTTGTTAACTACTCACAATGGGTTGCCGTTGTTTTCTTTTCGCAAACATGTCTGTGTTAAGTAACGAAAAAAAAACAACTTGTAATAGTTGCATGTGTTTATATATCTGATGCGTGTGTTCGAAAGGTTTTTTCCATTCATTTCGAAAATTTTATCTAGATTCAATCAGGAAGATGACTGATTGGGCTACACAAAATCGTCTTTATCCACCTGGTTATCACACAACCGACACTCGTTATCGACGCACTAGTATTGACTCTTCGTTACCATTTTCAATAGCATCAAACAAAAGTAAAAATTCTTTTAGATTTATCAAAAGAAAAATATTCTGCATAATTATTCTTTTTGTTAGGACACAGTTGTCGCATAAAAACAAAACAGTTGAAAAAGTCTAATGAAAATGAGGTGTTGACTGGCAGTCTTCGTCGTGGTCTTAGTCAAGCTTTTCATTTTTATGATAGTATATCTGCTGAGAACAACGATGACAGGTATACTACACATGATCTATTTTGGCTGCTTTTGAATGTTTATTTGAAACAGGAACCCGAAATTGCTTGCTACTTATGCTTCAAATCTAAATTGGCCTCGTTCAGTATGCTGTTTGTCTGGCAGTGATGGTTCGTTGATTGTTTGCGAACAAGATCGATGTCGTCTTCTTCTTTTTACTTCTCAATTGATGCTTCGTTCAACTTGTGGTGGAAAGCAAGGCAATGATCTTTATGAATTCGATTCTCCATGGAGCGTAGCTTCATTCATTGATGACTCATCATCAAAAGTATTAGTGGCTGATACAAATAATCGACGAGTACAATGTTTTTCAATTGGTTTTCATGGAGAGTTTATGTATAAACATACATTTGTCACAAAAGAAAAGCCTTACTTCGTTGGTACAAGTAATGAACATTTTGCAATATCATGTGAAAAAAGTCTCATTTTAACTTTTCTAATTAAAAAAAGAAAACAATTAGCAACAATTGATTTGAATAGAACATCAATACAACCAAGTAAGATATTTATTTATTCCAAATCTGTTTGTTTTTTTAACTATTATTTTTAGATTTAAGTCAAATTGCTCTTCCATTTTGTATGGATTCGGAAAATAGTTTTCTTTTTTTCAGCAATTCTACTTCTTCGATTAGCATGATTCATCAATTAACAATAACCGGCGAATATCTTCGTTCTATTAAACTTGATCATTATCCTTTTCTTCGTATATCGTCTCTTGCATTTGATAATTATGACCAACAGTTAATTATTGTTGACTCATTTAATTCAGTTATTTATTCTGTTGAACACGATTTAGATGAAGATAATGTTATACTCTTATTGAAACATTCCGATAGCTTAAATGCTCCACAATCATTATGTATCGGCAATGAAGGTCATTTAATTGTCGTTGAATGTAGTGTTACAACGCAACATACTCTAAAAATATTTCGATATCACCCATGTTCATGTCATTCTCGTGTGACAACATCTAGTGTCAAAACAAGTGAAACAACCAGTGTTCGATCCTTTATTTTTCCCTATTAAATTGTAGACATCTGCCAGAAGAAATAAAAAATTCATTTAAAATAAGTGCAACTCCATATGGCGCATTCATATAAACAAAATTTTGAAGACTTTTTTTATTTTTATTTTTATTAGTATCAATTAATTCTAGAACTATTATTTACAATGAAATTCCCAGACATTTATTGAAAAACAACGTGAATAGATAATTGAGACATTTTCTTGATTGAAAATCTGGTATGAAACAATAGAGATGGAGTGGTGTGTATGTTTGCGTTGTCTATGTGTGGCTATGCATGTTAACTAGTTGGTGAAAGTCTTCTTGTAATCAATATCTTTACTACAAGATCGAATTATATCATATCAGCATACACAAATATCATTCCTTCTCCACTTCGTTCTATACTTGGCTGCCATTTAATTAGCTCTATCGACTGATTCTTTTTCTAGAAATCATAATGTATTCTAGAAAAGTCGATAAATTTTATTCGAATAAAAATGAACAGAAAAATTATATATAGATGCATACTTGAAGAAAATGAAAGATAAAAGAGAACTTAAATTTAGAAAGGCATCATATGATCAATCCTACTATTACAGATTTGTTAGACATCGTTTCCAACGGACGACTGCCCAAAAAATAATTAGAAGGAACTATAAATATTTGAATATGGTTTGTTGCATGATCGTGATCTATTCTTCATTCATTAGTGCCTATGCTCAAAAAAACTACCAAAACACGCCCGGTCTGGTCGTTATCAAGGACTCTTTCTTCTTGAATCTGAACAACAATATTTTTTGTGCCAACAATAGCAGAGCAGAGTAGCGACTGATTTGACTCTGATTAATCGATTGACAATAGGCTTGAGGCTATCAGATTATTACAAGATTTTTCACATCCAATGTGACGAAGAGAATAGTATTGTTCAAATGTATCATAGGTTAGAAGTAGTCTCTTTCGTTTAATACATTCGAAGGAGACTATGGGTGTGTCTATGTTACTGAAGAAAAACTTTCAATCCTATAATATTGACTGCTGAAAGCAATTACTTCAATAAAGCTCTAAATGAATCAAGTATAATATAAAACAAAGAATTATTAGTAATCAGAAAAAAAACTTAATATCAGGTTAAGTTAATCCGTTTTCTAATCACATTATTTCAATTTTTTTGCCAATGCCGATCAATGATTCTTATTTTTCTAAACTTATTTGACTTGATTAGATTACCATGTAGGTATGATAAGTATTTTTCTGTGATCGAGACCGGTACCAGATTGTAAAAATCTTGTTCAACCAGTGGTGACCAAGTGCTATTTCCTCTGTTGGTAAATGTAGTGCAGACATATAGGTTATAGAAAAAGACAACAGCATCCATGTTAGGAATTGTATTTGTATAACCGATGTATACACGCCATGGGTTTATTTTGTTCTGCTTAATAGTTTGATTCTTTTCAATAAGACCTTGAATCGCAGGATATTGCTTCACGAGATTTGTATGTAAGAATAGAACTTTTCCAAGTGGATCATGCTGTACCATAGTATGACCACAAAAGGTTCGTTCGTTGCTCGTTGCTCCTGATTTTTCTGCAACAGCTAAATCAAATCCACCAATGGCAAGATGTGTTCTAATAAAGAAGTAAGAAACGTTAATACTTCTCCATGCTAATCTGAAGGTGTCTTTATCTCCATGAATAAGTTTTATTATATCATTATCAGAGTTTAAATACAGTGCCAAGTTTAGAGCCTTCCATGCCAAACGTTTATTAATAACAAGTTGACCAGACTCTTGCTCATAATCTTCTTCTCTACATCTAATATTCATCATTCTCCATATAGGATTTCTTCCTGATGTTTTCCAAAAATCAGGCCAAAATATAGCCGTCGAATTTTTATAATGTGGAAGATCGAAAAGATATTCTGGATTATTTACGGCGATGTTATCAGAATCCATCCATAGTACATGCTCAAAGCTAGATTGTAAAATGGAGAATGGTTTTATAACGAATCGAGATTTTTTTCGATTTTTGAGAATCACTTTATCTTTTATTATATGAAGAGTCACATTTTGAATAGCCTTCAAGTTTCTGATCTCGTGCATTTCTAATTCATTCGCATACGCATAAACCTCAACGGGTAAAGTGCAATTTAACCATCGTAGCAACTGCAATGATGCAAGTAATCGCCGACATCCATTCAAACCAGAAGAAGTCGATGAGACAATGCCTCTTCCAGAAAATTTGTTCTCAGGATAAGGAGATACAGACGAAACAAATCTCTTCCATCGCAACTGTACTTTTCTCGATACAGCTTCTTTGACATGAGCCTCGCTAAGAGCATTGAATGGACTGTTTCTAGCATAATCAGGACACGATGAAAAATTAGCAATGTTAAATGTTTTATTATATAATAGATTGTTTTGAAGCCCATCGCTGGTATCTGTATTCTTTGAACAGCAATCGAAAATTGATAATGCATCTTCTGATAACAAATAAGCAGATATAGTAATCAATAAAAGTGTGATGACCAAATACATGGTGATAGTCATATTTTGTCGGAACAACATATATTGGCAAATTTTTTTCCGAGGGTACAAACGGGTTATGTACATAATAGATGAGTTTATTTTCATTATTATTCTGTGCTTAATTAATCGCTCTTTGATCTGATATAACCTAAAAGAATTTGATAAGTATTCAAAATGTTGTTAACTGGCAATCTTTTTGCTCTTTCACGAATCGAAACTATACGAAATTATTATGTGTCACCAGTCACAATTATACAGATGATCTGATATATTTAGAAATGAAACGGTAAGGCTAAAGATAAAAGCCGAAAAGAACATGAAAAGCTTATGGTGATGATCAGCGTGTTAGCATCACTGCCTTCTCTTCGCTGGAGAACATCTAAAGAAGATTTAGTCGATTTTGAAGAAAGACTCTAGAATACTAACGAAATTGATATAATTAGATGACTCTGCCTTCAATGAAGAAAGAAGAAATAATACATGCAAAAATATTATAGGTTTATACAGATCTAAGAGTCTTCTTGGATAGATCGATATTTTGTTAATAGGCTAGACGCGAGAGTATGTCTCATTATTTGGGATATAATAAGAAAAACACATTTTAGAAGAATAAATCTTCCAACATTTCAAGAATTCGATATTAATAAACAGAAATTTTACTTCTAATGATTTCAGTGCTCACGATAGCGGATGTTTGAATTCAAACGAAATGCCACTTATTTATGACCACTAATTTGAATTAGTTAAATGCAAAGATTAAGACTTCTCAACGCGGAATCGTCAATCTATTACATTTAGTCTCAGATTTTTCCGACCTAAATTTGTTATATCTGCATAGAAGAAGTCATTGGGATATGAATAAGTGAAAATGAATGCCATCTATCCCAAAGTAACAAATTGTAAATACTATGTTTTCTTAATGGAAATGAAATTTAGTAATTATGTTTATGTATATAACAATGCTATAGGTTTGTGCCTGATTCAAAATGAACTATGTATATTTAGACTTATTTTTAATTAATTGAGCTATAGTGTGCCCTGTTTCATAAAAAACAACATTTTAAATCTAAGAGAAATCGAGCATTAATAATATCTCGCTTAGTTTTCTAATCACTTATTTAATAAAACTGTTTACAATACGTAAGTGAAGTTTTTCGAAGAATTGCTTCTACTATAAAATAGGGATGCACCAGGTCCAGCTCGAAAGTTCAGCTGAACTGAGCGAAAAAGCTGTTCGAACGTTCATTTCGGTACGAGCTGAACTTTTCCAACAGCTCCTTTCAAAAGAGCTGATCTGATCGAACAGCTCACGTCCCTGAACTGAACCTTTCAACAGCTCCTTTCAAAAGAGCTGATATGCTCGAACAGCTATTGTTCCCTCGACTTTGGAGAGGGTATGCGTGCGTGCTTGCTTGCTTGCGCAGCCAATCAAAATCGAGATTTTTTATCTTAAGGTTTTTGGCTGTTCTGATGACAGATCCGTATCAGCGGCGTAACCAGGGGGGAGGCAAATGGGCAATTGTCCATTTCATTTTGAGCCTTGCCCATTGTAATTTTCATTAGTTAATTTTTGCCCATTGAAATTTTACCTTTTCACAATTACTTACGTTTGAATAAACTAGCTACTGTCTTTTTTCTTTCGTTTGAATCGCATATGTACCCTTTCGTTGTTCTTATGAAGAATTAATAGAAGAAAACAGAACAAATAAATGACCAATGCATAATTGTGCATACGTATCTATATGTATACTTGTACTTTTCTATTATCTTCTCTCAGAATGCTGACATGAAAAGAAAACGATTGAACTATAGCCTATCTCGTTCAGTTTACCGTCTTGTTTCTTCTTTCGCGCTACTATATTATAAGAAAAGCCTAAACAAAAAAGAAAAAGAACAAATATGCTTACATAAAATTGCGCACTTACACTTATCATTTTATTGTTCTCTTTTGCTCTGTTTTAAAAGACTAATACTAAGCCATGCCAACTGGAAAACGACCCAATATGCAGTGACGAATCCAGAGAATCAGTAAGGGGGGGGGGGGGCACGCCGGGTCAA